GGTGGGCGGAAGGAGGGGGGAGGCCAACCAGGCCTGTGGGGGAGACCGTGGGAGGATGGCGGCCGAAGGAGGGGACAGCCCAGGGAGGGAAGCTGGGGTGGGGGAGAGCCCAGGTGGGGCGGGGGGATGAGTGAGAGCCAGGGTGGGCGTAGGGGGGAACCAGACAAGTGGGTATGGCCGGTGGTGAGGAGGCAGGATGGTGCCAGGACTGCAGGGGCTGTGCCCACGGGCCGGGACTGGATGCAGGGCAGGGGTTAGATCCCCTCGCTTCAGTGAGAGCCCAGACACTGCCAACTTGATGGGCGCCTCCTCCCCACTGCCAGCGCCCAATGGGCAGGGCCGGGGTGCGGGGCAGAGGATCGGAGCAGTGGATGGGGTGAGGAGAACAGGCCACGGGATGCTGGGTAATGGACAGGCCCCACCTGTCACCCCCACTGCCGGGTTCTGTCCCTGATCCACTGCCCCCAGCATGAGCTCCACCCCCAGGCTGCCCAACTGTGCTGGGATCCTGCCCCGACCGCCGCCCCCTAGCCTGCAATCCCTAAACTGACTGCCTCCCCCACTGCTGGGATCCCTCCTTGCCCCCCCCGACCTGTGCTCCCCCACGTTGCCCCCCATCCTAATTGCTGGGATCCCTCCCCTGACCCTCCTGGCATGTGCTTCCCACGCCACCCGCCTCCCCCTCTGCTGGGATCCCACCCCCTGATCCCCACCAGCCTGCAGTCCCCAACACCTCCTGCCTCCCCCTCTGCTGGGATCCCTCTCGCAATCCCTCCCAACCTGCACTCCCCCACACCGCCCGCCTACCCCTCTGCTGGGATCCCACCCCCCGATCCCCACCGGCCTGCGCTCCCCACGTTGTCCACCTCCCCCTCCGCTGGGATCCCACACCCACTCCCCCCAGCCTGCGTTCCCCCTCGGGGCCCACCTCCCCAACTGACAGGATCCCACCCTGATCCTCCCCGGACTGCACACCCCACACCACCAACCTCCTGCTCTGCTGGGATCCCTCCCACAATCCCCCCCCCCTGACCTGTTCTCCTCATGCTGCCTGCCTCCCCCACTGCTGGGATCCCTCCCCAGATCCCCCCCTCACCCCGGCCTGCGCTCCCCACGCCGCCTGCCTCCCCATCTGTCGGGATCCCTCCCCTGATCTCCCCCGGCCTGTGCTCCCCACTCCGCTCGCCTCCCCCTCTGCCAGGATCCATCGCCCGACCCCCTAGGCCTGCGCTCCCCACGCCGTCCAGCACCCTCATTGCCGGGATCCC